CGAAGACTCATATTAATTCGCAACATAATAAATCAATCGAGTAATGAAAAATTGAAAAATGTAAACAAAAACATGAAAGAAATAGAAGTATATTCAAGACGTATCATATCGTCATCAAAATTATCACCGATACAAATAATTACAATATTGCTAAACTAGAAAGTGATTCTAAGATCCACCATCACTATCATTATTAACCTCAATCTTTATCTCTATAACCACCTTCAAAATTAACACCATCACATTCGATATAATCATATCATCATGGTCACCACCGTTATTATCATCATCGGATCATTATCGCCGTTGCATTTGCGTGGTACCAACCTTGCCCTCAGCTGTTCCATATATGAGTTGGTTTTCGGGCAGCCAGGCCACACAAGTCACCGCTCCCTTGTGAATGAACTTGTTGCATATTGACTTCGTTTCACCCCTATAAGATTTTTGTTTCCATTAATAAAATAAATCTATTTTTTATCAATGACAACTTCGACCAGACACAGTTGAAATAAATTAAGAAATCAGGTGATGAGTAAGAAACCATCAATTTCATGGAATCCAACAAAAGAGATTTGGAAGATCTAACCAATCATCTCCAATTTTGTAGACGTACAGGATATCATCCGTCTGTCCAACAGCTATTTTAGTGGCATCTGGTGAGAAAGCTATACTTTTTATGACGTAACTCTTTTTGCCAAACTGTAAAACAATCGTCACAAACAAAATGAAGTTTTCATAAAAATGAATATTTTCATCGGAAAAAAATTGGCTTTCCAACTTTTATACAAACAGAAACATAAGTTCATTATGAAATAAAAATAAATTCAGGTGTCATTTTAAAATTTAAAAGTTTGAACTTTCTAAGAAAATATCAATTGATATATTTTTAGATAATTCTCACTTTTGGGTCGCACGGTCGAGTGTTGAACTTGTCTTTCATCTCGCCAAATTCATCAAACAGCAGGATGACTCGATCATAGGTACAGACTGCAAATTTTTTACTGTTCATTGACCAGCACATTGAGCATATTTTTGCTGCACCTTCCTAAATGAAATGAAAAATTTCAAAATAAAAAAAAATCTGTTATATATACTTCAAACTCACAACATAGAAATAAATTGAAATATCTGTGGAGAACCAATTCATTTAAACTATATTGTAAGAAGTTTAAACATGAAATAAAAATTGTTAAAGGCAGCATAACTAAACATGCCCGTTAGGTACTGTAGTATATTCCTTGTTTTAAAAGGCTAAAATTAAAAATGTTTGCCTAAACTAAAACTAAAATACTGATTTTAATGTTAAAAAGAAAATTTTTGAAATTGAATCAGGCATACATCTGTCGTTTATTATCCAAAAATTATTTTCTTTTTATTTAATTATAACTCAGCTTCATTTTAATTAATTTTTATTTTAATTGTGATTATCATTTATATTTATTTTTTAATAGTTTATATAACATAATCTTTAACTCCTAAAAAAAAACTTAAAACCAATTAAAAAGTTTTGATGTGTTTTGTAAATTTTTAGTTATTCAAGACTTCAAGAGATTAATTTAAATTTATTAAAATTTAATAAATAACTTAAATTAAATCAATTAAATTAGTAAATTTAAATTAAACTGAATCTTATTTTATTATAAAATGAATTAAAAATTAAATTATTAAATTGAATTACTAAATTAATTAAAATATAAAAGTAAGTAAATGGTGAAAAAGAAAATTAACTTGTGCTGGTAACAACGTTTTGATATGCTTTAATTGCATTTTTGAATATGTAATTTAAATTAATATAATAAAGAATTGAGAAAAAAATCGTAATAAAAAAACTCAAAACAATTTATTAGCATAGCAACTGGCCATAGCAACATAACAAAACTTTTAAAAGTTATTTGAGGTTTCAAAAATAAGTTTTAGCGCGCTATTTAACGAATCATTCTTTCTTTCTCGTGCCTTTTCCTATCTAGACCATGGTGACCATCGACCTCCACAAAATCCGATCTTCAACACTTCAACACTTTGTAGTAGTTGGAAATGTGGTGGTTTTCAACAAGTGACACGAGGATTTCACGAATATAATTCGTTTTTGACCGCGTCTTTCTTTTGATCGCTGATCATTCGTAGCCTAAAGTTAGCGTTTCTTGTGCCACGATCCTCGACAAAACTACATTGAACATTTAAAATTTCAAACCTGATTTTAGTTCGTGCTCTCATCATAAGAATTCTCAAGAAAAATTTTGTAAGATGACTGACTCAAGTTGATTGTTCGATGTAGTTCACTTTGATAAATCTTCAAGAATTTCGCCGCTGTTATATATCTCATTCAAAATTTTTGCCACTTTCTAAATGCCAAATTCATTAAGGCATTTAATTTCTTCAACAACCATCTTATCTCGGGCCTGGCGCTTTATTTGATTTCATTTTGGAAAAAGCGGCACGAACTTCGAATCAAAATATCTTTGGTCCTTCTACGTCTTTTTTAATAAAAGGCTTTTCACCACGGATACGAATATCATCGAAAAGATCGTTAAACCAGTTGTTGGTAATAATTTGATCATTTGCGATTTGCGACACACCATTCAATCAAATTTTCGAATACAATTAGGTACACCATTAACGAATTTAACGAATACAACTCTATAAATCTCAGCCAAAATTTCTATTTTTTTCAAACATTTTCAAAAATAAATAATCAGTTAGACGGTCTAATTTAAACATTGACAGTTTTCAACAAAATAATAGCATTCAAAGACAGTTTTCCATAATTCTTTTTACAATTCTTCTAGGTAAAGCTGGGGGAATAGCCAAAGATGTTGAGGAAACTTTTTTTGTTTTCCTCATAGCGAGCATTAATATAGCGAGGATTGCTTGATGTCTTGAGCAGGGGAGCAGGAGGCGCAATCCCAATCTTGACTTGATCTTCAAGATGGCAGCCTTTTATCTCATGGTACAATTTCTTGCGGGAGGTTTTCACTTGAAAAACATATAAGTTTTATATTTGTAATATGTTATAATAGTTTTATGTTCGAAAAAATATATACCCTCATCCTTGTCGTAGCTAGTAGCAAATCTTTTGTCAATGTGCATTGTTATGGGCGGTTTAGCACCAATATCGCGATTTTCCAGAGGAGTTTCCCTTAATTCTTTGTGCTCAATAGATTTTCTACTCAAAGACAATACAGAATTCATAAGGCTATTGGGTTTCCGCTCACGCTTTGGTGTAGCCATTATGTTTAAAACAGAAATCATGAAAAAAAGGAAGATGTTATCTAAAAAATCTTACAAAGATGTTACCAGATTTTCTGATGTTGTTTGGTATTGTTCGTTAAACAGATGTTGCCTAGTGAATCTTACGGTATAACGGAAGATGTTAGCGTGCTATATTATATAAGCAAAAACTTATATTGCGAAACTAATGTTGTGAGTTTATATTTTTAAAATGACGCAACCATAGATGTTTTAAATTTATCTTATTTTTTCAGGTTATCCGTTTATTTATATATATAAAGCCATAACCAAGGAACTAGGGGTACCGCAGCCACTCTTTCCAACCAAACGTTTTTAAAAAATAGTTTATGTTAAACATTTCATAACAATTACACAGAATAACAAACAAAAAATAAATAAAATTTATCAAGAAAATTCTGAATCAATTACTACTATAATTGACTTATTCGCCTGTAAAATTGATTAATTCATTAAAAAAACTGGCACATTTTGCTTATAAAACAAAGCGAACACGAACACAACTCGCTTTCATGTATAATTTAATTTAAAAAAAATTCTTCATGAAAAATTGGATTGATCAACAAAATATAAATAAAACGTCATCAATTTCAATAATATGGGAAAATAAATGAGAAAAAGATTGCCTGGCTGTGATGAACGCTGTGAAAACAAACAGAAACTTAATTAAATAGAAGAGAACGTTATCATCGATAACATTCACGGATCACGGATATCCATGAACGTTTACACTGGTTTGCCTATTATATTTATTATTTTATACTATGTATCATATAAGTAGAATAATACAATTATACAATAACTTATTATCGTCAATATACCATATCATGTAAAGATCTAATAATCTTTAGATCTTTGACTTTAACTTTTTTTATTCAATTCAATCGCTATAAGTTTAAATTTGTTTGTTATCAATTTATATTCAATCGCTTTAAGTTTAAATTTTTATATCATTATAATGAAAACGTTGGCCTCTCTCGGTAAGGGAAAACAGTAGGAAGAGGCTTCAGTGGGTTGATGGTTTTTATTCAGAACTCCAAATGAGATGAAAACTCAAAAACTATCAGGGAAGAAGAAAGCAGCAGATATGTTGGCGGCTGTTTAACCCGAGAATCTTTTATCGGCATGTCAAAAGGAGTTACTGGTGTCCGTTCCAAAAATAACTTCTTTCTAGTAAGTTCTACGACGAGTTATCTGAAATGATTTTTTAAATACCAAGATTTGTTAGAAGGCACCTGAATGCAGCTGATATTACTCCCCAAAACCATTTATTGGTAATTGTTTGATGTTTTGCAATTAATAGCTGAATGGGACTTCCTAGGTTATCTTCCAGTATTGTCTCTAAGCCTACACTTATTTCTCACGATCTCTTTGGCTTCTAGTTTTTTTCAACCGAAACTAATACGATGGAAAGAATACGACAGGAGAGGGAATTCCGTTTTAAATTGCTTCAGACTTTTATAAAACATAGGTTGGATGCTTCGTTTTTTATGTATTTATTTTTACATCTATATGGCTAAATTTATTAAAACAAATTAATTTCTATACATTTTATAAATAAATGTTTGTTAATTTAAAAAATCAATCAAATGATGTAAAAAATGTCACGTTTTTTTAGCAACTTTTTGCTCCGTATCTTCCTTGGTTAAGTAGTAGTAAAATACACAATAAACTGCAAGAAACACGGCCAGCACCGTTCCAAAGGCAATCAAAACGTCCTGTATAAAAAAATGATACTCTGATCGACATTTTCAATAAATGTGTCTAATCAATTATGAGTGTTTGAATGTGTGTGTGTAACAACCGCGAGCAGTTGCCTTCAATGTTTTAAAAAAGCTTAAAATATAGTTGTAAAAATGTTGAATGTATTTATAGTGGTAATAGTTATAATTACTTAAAAAGCTTCCTATCCGATATCAGCATTCGGCAAAAACTTTTACATATTTGTTTAATATTTGTGTTTAGTTTAAAAAGCCTTCAAAGTACATAAAAACAAAATAATAAATTACATTCTTAAGAGATTTTTTTCACATTTGAACCAGGGCAACTTGATGCGGGGTGAGATAAGAGCATTTGACTAAAAAAATTGAGTTTCATCTCGCTCATAGGCAATTTTTTCAACAAACTGATCAATAAATCAACCATACCTAATCTTTCAAAAGATTGTTCAGACTGTTCTACCTTTTTTGTCAATTTTAAATTTATTTTTTCCTATAACCAATTCAATGATCTCCCCAATTTATTCTGTAACATCATTTAACTATTTCAGATGGGCTTAAATTTTTCTCATTAGCTTTTCTTCCAACAAATGTATGTTAACTAAACTTTTTTTGACAAATACCACTTTTCCAAAAACTTTCAATTATGAAAACATTTCTTATGCAATGATTATTTTTCTATCAACTGTTGAAGCTGATCACACGATTGCCTATGTACATGAACTGGTTAATCGTTCCAGTTTTTCATATTTTATTTGAATGATGCACTGTCTACATATTTAAAATATCATCTCTGTTTTGCTTTTGATGATCGTCACATGTCATCTTGAACAGCATCTGTAAGACATTTGCATTTGATGAGAGCAAATAAAAATGATTGCAGTTTTATATGTAAACAAAAATAATGGAATCACTCAAACAGGATTTAAAATTGGAGTCACTTTAATGGCTTGATCATGAAGTTAGAAAATTTTACAATAACTGATAACTTTTTTATTAAAGCAAAAAGCAGGTAAAAAATGCTTGAATCAAGTATAACAGTAAATCAGAATTCACTAAATGACTAAACACCAGAAACAAAAAAGGAAGTGTTGCTTTAAAGCCGAAGGTGTGCTTTTATGCTTACCAAATTCTGCATCAAAAGCAAAACTAATTTATTAAACTGCTTGTACAATAAATGAATTTAATAATTTCATCAAATATAATTCTATCCCATTTAACTTTCTTCATTTATGCAAATTCAAAGTTTATAAATGAGATTATTTCTCAAATAATTACTTTGATTCCCAAGGCAGATTGTTTTGAGTCATGATGTCTTTTTATTTCTTTAACAGCCTCTTTATCCTTTTTATAAAGATGTTTGCCTGATGGAAAATAATGTAGTTACATTACAGGTTTATTAAATTCATAATGGTTCAACATCTTTTTGTTTAATCATTTTTCAATAATTTAAAATTTAAATAATAAAAACAAAGCAATATAAAAGACAAAATGTAAGATTTTTGTAGACTAAATAAACTAACCAATTTGCTTTCTGTATTGATCAACAGGTAATGAAGCTGATCTGTCTGAATCTCTTCGACCCATCAAAACTGTTCAAAATTTGGCACTCATGTGAAAGAGTTGTAATCAGTGTCTATTACAACTTACAATAAATAACTGGGATTTTTTAAATTTAAATAATTAATTATTACAATTTTATAATACAATAACTCTAACAATATTTTAAGAATATTTGAAATGAATGAATGAACTGAAAGTCTTTCTTCAGTTCATATTCATTCCATGAAAAAAAATATTTGCATAATTGAAATAATTAATGCTCTGTTTGCAATTTATTAAACTATATTTAATTTCTATTAAAAATTAACCCATGACTTCGCAGCACTGAAATAATTCAACCTCAATAAAAAAAGAACCTGCCATTATTTATCATTTGTTGTCTTGGTGCGTTGTCACTTGGTAACATTAGTTTGATGTTATAATCTGAATGTTGAAATAAATTTAAATATGGAACGTTGAACGGGTTGAACAATTTTGAAGTTCCTATTCCAGGTGTCTACCTGTCTAGGTATTATAAATTTAATTCTATATATATGAGGTCTTACACATATTTTCAAAATTCAGTGAAAAATATTAACATAAACCACAAACAGCGTATATGAGTCAGTGCATACAAAACATGTCATAAGTGGGGATCTTTTTGTCCTATTCGAATCCTGTCACGGCACCCACTGCGAAACAGGACCAGGCACCTGAAACCATTAGACCACCACGCCGCCTGAAATCAAAATAAAGGTGATAAAATTTTTATTTTTCTAATAAATCGTTTTCCTAATAAATTTTTTAGTTGAATATCAGTTTCAAATGTCTCTACTCAGCACTACATCCCAGGTATTTACGCAGGCACGTGTTTCCCCACCAAGTAGCCAAGTGGTTTGGGGGTTTAATCTGTATAAATCCGTTAAAACTACAGTGGTTTTGATTTTGTCAATAGACATGCGTAGACAACTTTTGTATGCGTGACAGAAGTGTGGTTTTAATTCAAACTGTGATCAAAAACAATCACATATCTGATTTGGAAAAAGACGAAATATTCTATCAAACGTAAAGTTTTATTTATATACAGGGTTATATAACATTACCCAAAAATTATATGGTCGATACCGATATAACAATACCTGATTTAATAACAATACCTGGTTTAAAATGCAGCACCGATACTCATTTTAAAAGTTGGCCCAATATTTAGGTATTTTTTACTTTTTAAGCGGTGTTACATAAAAACAACTAATTTTTTTCAAATTTAATACATTCAGTAGTTAATATATAGCATGAAAATGATCTTCATAACGATGAATTGTTTAAATCACCTAAGACAAAGCAAGTGTTTCCTGATTTTAATTCCATTGTTTAAAAAGCTAATTTTTTTTTACCAATGACATTATATCTGACCAAACAACCTAGTTTGGATAGCACCAAACCAGAGGTTCGATGAACATTCTATATAAAGCTTTCACAACGTGACCACCGGTCGGGGTTAATTTTATTCTCGAAGGGGGCGTGAGACTTTATGGGTTGGGGTGAAAGTAGAAGTTGTTGGTTAAAAATGTATGTAATAATAGGAAAACACTGTACAATCATAAAATATAACAACTGTTTGATACAATAATCAAGGTCAACAACGTAGCAATTTATTAACGATTTTTAAAACTAAAGACGGTTGACCATTTTCCGTCAACTTAAAGTTTCTATCAGAAACATGTATTAAAGTAAATAAACCTTATGCCTATAAATAGATACATTTTATTTGTGAATGCACATACGAGCGGCAAGATGGGGTAATGGGTGAGCAACTGCACGGACGACTGGATCCGAATGCAAAAAATAACTCGCGTCAATTAATTAAAAGAGAAAAAAGAAAATGAATAAAACGCATACGCACACTCTTTCACACACTCACACACACACTCACACACACACAAACACACACACACACACACACACATATATATATATATATATATATATATATATATATATATATATATATATATATATATATATATATATATATATATATCACTATTAAATGTTGTTACCATTTCTAGATAAAAATTAATTTCTCACATATACTTTTGCTTGTATCGTTGTTTATCGTACTCAACTTAATAATTGTATGCAATTAAGCTGATTTAAACTGCGTGCGTTTGTGATGTGTGATGATTAGCACGCATTCATAGAATGATCTTCAACCTACCAACGAACGCTCGTACAATCCATAATTACAGTAGACCAATTGAAATCATCCATCAATTATTGCATCCTGTTATCTTAATTACTAAACATCCCACTTATAAAATGGGAACATTATTTGAAACAAGTTGACCCTTTCATTTCAATGCCAACTGTTTATGTTTGTTATCACCTTAATGGAAATATTTTTATAGAATTGTTATGAGTATTATGTTTGTTGCTATTTTTTTGATTGTATTGTGCTCTTCTTCACAACCAGCATTAAGTAAGTTTATTAGTTTACATTTTACTTTATAAACGTTTAAAATTTTACAATTTTCAAATGTGATTTTTGTGCCGCTCACCCTCGTTCATTGATTGTTGTATGACTTATCATTTTTCCTTATTCGTTTTTTACATCATTCACATTGTAACGCAATAAAATAGCAATAGCATATGATCATACTCAAATCAAGTAGAAAGATTAAGCAATTTAAGGCACTACCTCGCTAACTCGCCACAGTTTTGTTCAAATTTTATCAAATGTAATTAAAAGACAGAATTATGGGACTGAATAGAGCTCGTTTCATTCATGTTGTTCAACATTTAACCTAAGTTTTATAATATTTCTTATTCGTCTTGCTTCTATTTGTTCAGAATTTCAAAAACATTTCAGGTACGTATGTCGACAAACGTTGCGTCATCAACCATGTTGATTTGGTGGCCAAGAACGTCGTGAACGTGGAACTGAAAATTTTACCCGGCAGCGATGAAGCAACTTGTGTAGTTTCTTTGACATCGGAAGCAAACTGTGAGCTGGAAAACTTTGCAAACGCATCGATTTCTATCACAGGCAGAGAAGAGCAGGTTGGAAACAATAACATTTCCAAATTCATTTCAGTTAATATTTTAAAAGTTAGATTGCAAATATTTAATGCTGTAACAGATTTCAACAAGTTTGTGGTTCAACGAATCGAGCTTAGATGTCGCCTCAATCAAGGTGTGCGTGCAGACCGAATGTCACTCCAGTCGTTCAAGATACAGTTATAAAGAAATTTATTTTCTTCCAAGTATGTCAAATATTTAGCCAACATCCAATTTGAGTTGATGGCGCTGAAACAATTACAATAATTTTTTCAGCTGGAGTACCGCCTGTTATAAAAGTCTGTGAAGTTCAAAATCACTTAACGCTAATAGAAAGTAAAAATTTTGAAGGCGAGAATGTGTACCCGATTGGTGTGACTCACACGGATGTGCACATGAGCTGCTCCTTCGAACGCGATCCTGGACGTACCAAGTAGGATCGGATCAACCTGTTTTTCATCTTATTAGTTTTTATGATTTTTAATATTTTCAAAGGTTATATTGATAAATTGTTTGCAAAAAATTGTTCTACTGTTAAAAAAATTACGTACCACGTTGTGAATACATGTGAAAAATTATGGCGATATGAAATAAAATGAGATTATTGTGAATAATGCTCGTCTTAATGTGCTAATAAACTTAGTTGCATGCTGGCCACTAATTATATCTTGACTACAAAAACTCTTATTTGAATTGGATCAAATTTCATACTCAACAATTAATCGTTTTTGCCGTTCATTAATCTCAAATTATAATTTAAAATAGTATAAAAACAACAAGCAGTGGCGGATCCAAAACAATACGATGGCGATGGAATTCAAAATTGAAAGTTCATGACCTTTCTTGCTAATTCCTATTTATATATTACACAGAATCTTTTATTTTTGCATCTCCCAACCTTTCTGGATTTGCCACTGTCTCTCTCTACTGAAAATTTTTATCCGATTGAATGGTTTCTATGCATTATAAAGTTGTTTTTAGATGATAGTGGCTGAGCTTACTCAATGATGGAATTTTTTATGGAAAATGAAACGCAAAGAATTGTTTCAAAGAATTAATTGTTTCAAATATTCAATTGGTTGAAATCATTGGACGATTCATTAATAATTTGAAAATGAGAAATTCTCACCTTTAAAATGTTTAGAATTCTCCCTGTAACGGCTGTTGATGCACAAAATATTTTTCATAATTTTGTCATTATGAACTTGATCCAATAAATAACATTTACATTTCTATATTTATATGTTGAACATATAATAGACTTGAAATAAGACACGCATATGTATCTATGAATATATTTATATGTACAGACACACGCGTTTTTTTGTGTTTGTTTATAGAATAATTCCAAAATACCTGGTGTTTGAAGGCTTATTGTTAGCCGAAGAATAAAGATGTTGTTTTTTTTTTAATTTTTTTTATATAGAAAATTTTTCTGTCGTCATGTGATTTTATATCATTTAATTTAATCCCTTTTGCGTTTACTTATTTCAACTTATCAAGTTATATAACATGACACATTAATATTCTTCAATCAAAAAATATTGGCTGATGTTAAGGATTATTTACAATTATTTAAAAATTTGATGTGACTTTAGTACTTGTCCTTCAAGATTTTTAAAAAAATGTTTTACAGAGTGACTTGGTGCAGGAACCTGGATAATGACTGCGAAGTAACCACAGTGGAGAATCTGAGAAAATTTTCATTGCAAATAAAACTTTCCATCCCTCCGACAGCTGAAAGGTTTTACAATGGAACGTTCTACGCCTACTTCGAAAACGAGTTTGGCGTTACAAGGAGCCACAACGTAACGGTCAAAATGACCGGTCGATTAATTTATTTTGGTTCACTCTAAATTTATGTTTTTACGATTAATAATTAAGTTAATTTTATTTTATCTTGTGTTATTATCAGCATTTATTATTATCACTCATTATCACCTGTTACATTATGTACTACTAATTTTATCAACTTGAAATCATCTTCTGCAAATATTTTGATTCCAGATGGCAATTCAGAGTTTAATCAAAATATTAATGTTTGTAATAATTTACCACAAAATCAAATTTTATAGCAAATGATATGAGCAAAATAATAACAAATTTAAAAGTATTTTCAAATTACGATGGTTCTTAGATTTAATTAAAAATTAAACTGGCTGGTTATTGCTTCATACTTGCTGTAATTATGCTAACTTGTTTCAACTAACTTGAAAATGACATTCACACCAGGAAAACGTGTTACATTTCAATTTCAGAGTACCCAAAAGAAGTCAGTTATTACAGTTTTGTGAAAAATGTAGGCGAACATGTTGTGATGCCGTGCGTGCCGAACGTCTACTGGCCGTACCTGGATGAGTTTGAGTATTTGTTTTGGGAAGAGGAGGGCTGGCATGATAGAATCACCAACAACAGACACCTTTATCCAAATTCCTTATTTACCAACAAAGGTTAATTATACTCATTTCATTGTTACACAGATGGTACAAATATCTGTTATTGTTTCAGATGTTTCATCATTTGTCGTTAATCTTTGTCAATGTTTCTCACTCAACACGAAGCACTGATTCTACAAAATATGTTTCAAAGCGAAAAATTGTATGTATCTGTAAGCTTACCACATTGAAACAATTTGAACGTTATTTTGAGCGTGAAGTAATTTAAAAATTATGTAACACCATTGCTATCGAGTATTGTTTACCATTTTATAAAAAAAATAGTTCTTTGTAGATCCTTTAAATTTTTTTATATTGAACAATAAATGTTAAATAAATTAACTTAAGCAATTTAATAATTAAAAGGATATCTGGTACTTTTTAACCTGACGGTGCATCATACAAAAAGATACCGTTGCATAACCAGAAGATTACATGAATTTGAAAAGGATGTCGTCCACAGCATAATCAATCTCACCGTCCTTGACGATGGTTCTTTGACATTTCAACATCACATAAAAAAACAATTTTCATAATTTTATTGAATACTACGTTTTATTGAATAGTATCTGACGTATGCTTGCAATAATTACAATCTATAATGAATAACATTCTATAGCAATCTGATTTGCGATTAATGGTATTTGTGAACTTCCATCTGAAGGCAAACCGCTACAAAACATTCCGATGACAGAATTGAAGAATGTTTCTTTCGATACGGTCCAGGTGGCCAGTTCATATCCAGGTGAACTAAACTGTCCTTTCTATGGCAGGTAGACAAATGATTAATGTGCATTAACTAGTTAGTAACTTGACCACTTTCTTGCTGAGGTATGAGTTTTAGTTTAAAATAATTTCAATTATCAAGTAATTTTAAAGTTTATAAAGCCTTATTTTGAAAAATTACATTAATTTTCTTTAACAACCGATGAACACAGACCAATGCCAACTATAAAATGGTACGACGATGTAACAGGCAAGGAGCTCTTCACTGACCACCATCGAGACCTCCTAGTCGACAACATGGTCATGAAAATCTTTCGCGGAAAGAACGATTCTGTGAGATGCGAGGCCCATGACGAGCATGGACGCGTAGAAATAAAACATTTCAGGCAAATTGGCCACGGTGGGTCACATGTTATGTTTGTAATTTATAATTCTGATTTGTAACTATCTACTTAGCAAAATTTCTATCATAGCGTAAACAATTGAGAAACTAATTTATAACAGAATTAATTTTGTCCGCTTCACCATTTTTACAAAAAACCAATCATTTTATAAATATTGTTTTCAACTTGCAAAAATTCAGAAATTGTTTGATTTGTGCAAGGAGTTGGTGTTGCATTATTGTTTTGAAAGTGACGAATTAATGCTGAAGCCGTGGATATTTTCAATATAATGTACAAATACAATGTACAAATATAATGTACAAATATAACGTACAATTCCCCTCAAAACGACCGCAGTCTCGCCGGTCATATATCGAATGCCGCCGTACGTGCTTGCAAGCGTTGGTGATGACGTGACGGTGCCGTGCGAGTACCAGGCCCACAACCCAACCATCAGGTGGTATGTCAATGCACGCCAAATTTTCAACGAAGTTGGTAAGTATTTTTAACTTTAATAGTTCCATACATTAAATGTCTTTTTACCAAAAAATATGCCAATAATTGTGCTATATCTAAAAAATTAAAACACAAAATATAACGACTGTTTGGCGACATATGTAATAAACAAATCAAATGTTTGCATTTAAGAGAGCTTGAACAGTTGGATCAACAGAGAGAACATCACAGAGTTACTGATGAAGTCAGTGACGCTGAAGAGTTCAGGTTCAATAATGTGTTACGTAACGAATGTTTGGTGGGAGGCTTCTGTCAGATACACCTACATTACTGTCTATGGTCAGTTTCTTCATTATATCTTGTCGCATCTTCTATCATTAGCAGACTCATAAAATTTTAATGAAATTTATTTAGAGTGAGTATAATCAAAATAAAAAATGTTGAAAAATTAAACTTTATCAATTGGCGTACTTATTTTACAGAAAGGACATTCATCTCGTCCATTGAGAAGGTGATGCTCACTTTGGACAACAGATACGAAAAGTTGCACCTGCAGCGGCGTGAACAGATGCAGACGATTTACGAACCCTACCAGGAGCAGAGCATCGGACTGCTGAAACTGACCTGCAATGCAATCACCGACCAGAGAACGCCAATCAGAATCATGTGGTTCGTCAACGAGAAAGTAATCCCGCAAGGCGAGTACATCAACATCAACGACAACATGGACAGGCGTGAAACGGTGGATGAGAATTTGGAGTCCCCATCGTTGGATTGCGATATCTCGGCAATAGCCAAAGACGCACTGACCATCCAATGCTCGCACATATCAGCAGCCAAGGTTAACATAACATGCCTGGCAACAAACGACCTTTCAACCGCCTACGTTAACTACATTTTTACTCCAAATAACAATGAATCAAACTCCAAAAAATATTTATCAAGTGAGATTTTTGATTATAACAATGTCAACAAAGTCCGACTTTAAATTTGTAATTGTATATTTAGCTTTACCGAAAAAATGAAAAAAAATAATAAGACTTAATTTTGACTGTTAAATCAAATGTTCAATGTTATATTGGTGGATTATTTGTGTTATTTTTGTCCCTCAGACAACGATCTTTTGAAGGAGACATCTATTGGCAAGTTATTTATTTTATTTAGTCTTTACGTATATGCATGTATGTGTGCATACATGCATATACGTCATATACATACATATGTGTTCATTCATTTGTTAAATCATTCATTCATTTATTCATTCATTCATTCATTTATTCATTCATTCATTCATTTATTCATTTACTTATTTATTTATGTTAATTGTTTAACAAAATTTAAATTTTTGCACTTTCGATGAGAAAATATCTAAAGCATCATGAAATATTTTTTTATTCATTTTCGTTAGACATTTTTTTGTTAATTTTATAATTTAAT